TTGCCTGCCGATCTTGGGATTTGTCGGTCTTCACAGCCTGTGAGCCAGAGCCCTGCTGCCTGACTTGCTGATTTTGAATTCATCAGCCCCTGCAGCTATGTGAATCAGGAGAAGCATCCAGCTTGATCCACATTCTAGCCTCTACAACTGTGTGAGCCATTTCTTTAATATAAATCTTTCTATATATATATTTATACACTTTACTGGTTTTGCTTCTCTAGAGAACCCAGCCTAAGACACTAATGATATTGAGCATCTTTTCATGTGTTTATTGGCCATTTATATATCTTCTTTGGTGAAATGTCTATTTAAGTACTTTGCCTATTTTTGCATTGGGTTATTTGGGTTGTTGTTGAGTTGTAGGAGTTCTTTGTGTATTCTGGATGTTAAACTATTATCAGATATATGGCTGCCTGTGTTGTGATGGATCGTTTTTGTATGGCCTTTCTCGCCATTGTCTTGTAACTCCCACCCAGGCAATTGGGCAGAACTGTGCAGATATGGTAATTGTGGCCCACCAAAGGGATTGGTTAGTTTTTGCCATCCTGTGGGACTTGAGGTGAGCCATCCCAGAGGCAAGAAGGAGAAGGTACCACCACCACCAAGGAAGAATAGCCAGGAGCCAGCATATTCTTTGGACCCAGGATCCCTGTGCTGAGAAGCTCCTGGAAGCCGGAGACTGAGAGAGAGAGAGAGAGCTGTAACCTTGAAGACACTGAGAAGCAGTGGCAGCAGAGACCCTGCCGCAGGAGATGGAGTGATGGATTTCTTGACCCACGGAAAGAGAAAGCTGAGTGTCTTTGGGCAGAAGCCTAGGGCCAGGGAGAGGCGTACCTGAAAGCACAGCTGGGAGAGGCTGTCCTGATGGAAGAAATGTATCCTTGAGTATTCCTAAGCCTGAATTGTAACCTGTTACTTCACTAATAAACCCCATAATTGTGAATATGGTTTGTGAGTTCTGTGTGGCCATTGCAATCAATTATCGAAGTAGAGAGTGCTGTGGGAGGGATGGTTGGTGTCAGAATTGGTAAAGATGACAGAGAGAGAAGGCATGTCTGACTGCCACCTCATAGGAATCAGCCTTTGGCTGTTGATCTTGTTTCTCCTTCCCCCTGGTGAAGTTGGAGGAGGTCAGACACTGCCCCAAACTGTTTTTACACTAACCAATATTTTCTCCTTTTCTGTACTGTGTTGGTTTTGATTGATTGATTTTTCTTCTCATTATAGATTTTCCTGTTTCTTTTGTACCTGATAATTTTTTATTGGATTCCAGACATTTTATCTTGTTGGTTACTAGAAATTTTTATGTATTTATAAATATTCTTAAGCTTTTTTCTTGGAACGTAGTTAAATTACTTGAAAGTAGTTTGATCGTTTCAGGTATTGCTTTTAAGAATCGTTAAGCATGACCTAAGCAGTATTTAATCTAGGGCTAATTTCCCTACTAGTGAGGTCAAATCTTTCTCAGTATTCTACCCAAGGCCCCATGAACTATGAGGCTTTCCAGTCTAGGTAGTAGGATTAGGAACTGTTCCAATTCCACGTGAGCACAAGGTACGATTTCTTCTAATCCTTTTAGAGGGTTCTTTCCCTAGCCAGTAGTTGCCTTACATGCACACGCTGATGCATACTGAGTTTTCAGGTGGTACCTCTATAGATCTCCATAGCTATCTCTCTGTTCACCTTTCTCTTCTCCAGTACTCTGTCATGAACTCTAGCTGTCTTGGTCTTATACTATCAGTTTCATCTACTCAAGTCAGGGAATTTACTAGGCTTCACTTATAATCCCCTTCTCTACACCATGGCCTAGAGACTCTCTCAAGGCAGTAAGCCGGGCAATCATAAGGCTCTTAGAATTTTTTTTTCTTTGAGAGTTCAAAGAATTGTTCTTTTTTGCCTGATTCCCGTTTCATTAAACCATTGTTTCATATATTTTGTATGGATTTTTAGTTTTCTTAGGCAGGATGGTAAATCTGATCTCTGTTTCTCTTATCTTGGCCAGAAATGGAAGTTCTGTATACCTTTTGCATAGTGAAAATGATAAGAGAAAACTTAATTCTCCAAGTATTCTGAAAAGTGACTGCTCATGAAGATTGACTATTTTCCGAGTGGAGTTTGGAAAGGATAGACTTCATTGTGTACTTTTTTCCATTGGCTTCTCCAATACTGTTCTTTATCTACATTTTTCTACAGGTGGATTAGATTACTGTGTATAATAATGTAGTGCAAGTCACTAGTCCAATTATGTTTTATTGGAGTTAGATATGATTTATTACTTAAAGGAAATCTGCTGAAAAGATCATGTGCTATTTTTACATGCCTGTTTTGTTTCTGATATCCATGAATGTATGAAGAAATGAGATAAAAAGGAGAACCTAGACATAATCTATTGTCTGAATTTTTGCATCACTAAAGTATGTTCTGACTATGCTGACATCTCTATCTTATGGCATATTGCTGCCAAAATAAATCCAAAGAGGTAGTAGATGCATTCTCTTTTCAAAATATTTCCTAGAAACCAGCCACTGTATTCAGAAAGAGAGTAAGATATAAGTTTTTAAAACTATATGTCAGGAAATGCCTCATTTGTGAATGTATATACATCTGTGCTCATAAATTGCATAATTATGTACCTAACTACTTTGTTTTATCATTATTTACTTTGTGTACACAAATGAAGGCTTTTCATTCATGTTCTGCTGCCTGGGACACTCGTGATTGGAAGATGGTTATTTTTCATACTCCTAGTCGATATTAATGCATACAATTTCACATGAAATTATAGAATGCATCAATTTACTCTAGAATAGCTTTTACAGGGTCTTCTTTACTAAACATATGTTCTGAAGTAGTATAAGTAATTAATAGTTATTTGGCTTCATCAGTTATATAAGAAATGTTAGAAAAGCTATTAAAAAAAAATTTACCGATTCCTAGGAGCCTTTGCACCCACGAATATAAATTGACATCTGATGTTAATTCTGCCAACTCTGATTTTAAAATTAAGCCCCTTAAACTGATTGTGATGGTAATAATAAACCAAATCTATTGCTGTCAAGTTGATTCCAACTCATAGTGACCCTATAGGACAGAGTAGAATTGCCCCATGGAGTTTCCAAGGCTGTAAATCTTTACAGAAACAGACTGATACATCTTTCTTCTGTGGAGCAGCTGGTGGTTTCAAACTGCCAACTTTTCAGTTAGCAGCCGAGCACTTAACCACTGAGCCAACAGGGATCCTTTGTGGTAATGATAGATAACCCTAAATATTTTGAGATTAGAGTTTATTGCTAAAATGACTAGCCCTGATATAACTGCCAGACAGTATGCTAAGCACTTTTATAGACATTTCTCATTTAAATAGACTTTGGAAGAAAATCCAGCCATTATTTAGTCTTCATAATAATTTTTCAAAAGGGTAAATATACACACACGTATTTATACATATATATTGGTATACATAAATGTATGTATATAAATGCATGTGTATGTTTTTGTATGTATGTATGTATTAGTTTCCCGTTGCTGCTGTCACAAATTACCACAAACTAAGTGGCTTAAAACGATACACATTTATTTTCTTAGACTTCTAGAGGTCAGAAGTTTTAAAGAAGTTTCATGGGCCAAACCAAAGTTTCTACAGGGCCACCGTCCCTGGGGAAGTTGTACTGGAGAAGCAATGTCTCTGCCTTTTCCAGCTTTTAAAAATGCTTCCTTGCTCATGGCCCCTTCCTCTGTCTTCAAAGCCAGCAACATTGTCATATAGCCTTCTCTTCTGTAGTAAAATCTCCTTCTGTCTTCCTCCAGAGGCATAGCAAGGGGGGAGGGGCAGGGGGCGATAGGAGGGCCTTTGCCCCTGGGTGCAAACAAGGCTGGCCTGCGAATCAGACATCCCCCTCCCCCGTCGATGAGGTAGAGGTGGGTACTATGCCTGTTTCTCCCTCTTATAAGAACACTTGTGATTATCGTTATGGTTCACTCACATAATTTTGGATAATCTCCCCATTTCAAGATCTTTAAGTTAATCACATCTGCAGATTTTCTTTTGCCATATGGTCAAAATAGGGAACAGAATACTGCGAGAAGTCACATAAAAACAAAACATGTTAGAAATAAACACAGTCCAAAAAGAGGCGCATGTAAGTTGATGATATAAGCAAGAGATCCTAAAGTTCCTTTGCTGTGTTCCAATGTTTTATATTGTTGACTGATATTTTTGCTGCTGATAGGAACAATCAGGATATTAATCTTCAATTTTTTTTTAATATACTTCATCTTCATCGTACTTCATTGTCTTTCCCTCCTCTAAAAAAACAATGCTTAGTAATATAAGATCATAAATTTATAAACTGGAGCATGAGTTTACATAGCTTAATATTGTACTTAATTTAGAAGCAGTTTGTATTTGATTTTGATGTCCATAGACACATGTTCCGATACATGCCTTCTTATTCCCTTTAAGCCGTTTCTTCACCCTTTCCTTCACCTTTGTTATTCTCAGTGCTAATGAAGAATTGAGCATGCTGCCACTGAGAAACCAAAACCAAACCTTTTGCTGTCCAGTCGATTCTGACTCACAGTGATCCTATAGGACAGAGTAGAACTTCCCCATACGGTTTCCAAGGAGCAACTGGTGAATTCGAACTGCTGACCTTTAGGTTAGCAGCTGAGCTCTTTACCACTGCACCACCAGGGCTCCCTGCCATTGATAGTGGCACTTTAATAGGATGACAGTTCTTAGGAGACTGCTTTTAAGGTTCCTCAATTGCTAGGTCATAGATCTCAGAGCTAGATTATTCTTTTCCTGTTTTTGTTCAGTGTTATTGTAATGTTTACACTGTCTTATTCGTTTGAAGAGAAAATTTCATTTGATGCTTCTGTCATGTTGTATGGTTCAGTGAGTTGCAGAATTACCAATAAATGTTTTTTAGCAAAGTAGGCATGTATTTTATTGCATAATTTATAAGCTAAACTTTTACGTTTTATTCTGTGAACTATAGGATACCAGAAGGCCCCATTGATCAGGGGCTGGCTACGGGAAGGGTACGTGCTTTAGAAGAGCAGCTGGTAAAGGCCAAAGAACAGATTGAAAATTACAAGAAACAAACCGGAAATGGTAGGTGATGATGCAGTGTTTTTCCTTTTCAAAATATTGGTGTTACGTACAAATAATTGAAAAATTCCTTTCATCAGAATGTTGGAAATGCTGACACTCTGTATTTTGACTGCAGGTCTGGGGAAGGATCATGAAATCCTGAGGAGGAGGATTGAAAATGGAGCTAAAGAGCTCTGGTTTTATCTGCAGAGTGAATTGAAGAAATTAAAGAATTTAGAAGGAAATGAACTCCAAAGACATGCAGATGAATTTCTGTCAGATTTGGGACATCATGAAAGGTACTGTTTTCCCTATAGAATTGGGCTTTAGCAAAGATTATAATCTAAGAATTGGAAACTGAAATTTTTGCTAATTTCTCATTTGAATGGTAAAAGATGCCCACCATGTTTGGGAGAGAAGTACCTTGGATCTCAAAGGACAGTCCAAATGCAGTCTATCAACTAAAATATATCACAGGAAAATATTATTTAAATGTATTTCTAGATATCTTTACAACTCAAGTAAACTTTGAAGTTAATGGTGTCAGCCAACAATATGCTAAAATATCTTCTTGTAGATTTCCTTTATATACAATCAGTATTTGAAATGGAGAGTGAAATTTTGCATGCAGTACACTGGAACTTATGTGAGGCTGGCGGTTAGTTTCTAACTTAAATATTAAAAACTTTACAACAGCACTTTTTTAGAGTTGCTAACTAAAGGTTAAAGGTTTTTGATAAAAAGTAGCATTGTTAATTGCTCTTACACTTAGTTGCTGGACAGGGGAACCTGGATCTGCCTAGTTAAATTTGTTTCTCTGTATATACATGTCTAAAAATACATGGTTTATCTTCCATAGAAAAATAACATTTTGGTGCTGGCGTGTTCATGCAGAACAAAATGTATCTGAGAATCATCATAAATACAGTGAAACCTGTCCTTAGGTCTATTATATTTAAAAGACTATGTTCCCGGTAGGATTCTGATGGTAATTACTGTCTCATTACTGAACAATAAAAGAAACACTGTTGTATTAACATAATCTACCACTGTGAAGAGGAAAAAAATTACCCCATGCAACCAAGAGATTCATGTATATATTAACATCACCAGCTTTATTATAAGGATTTTGAAAAATTGGTCTGCCATTTCAAGGGAAATTACAGATAAAAACTATCAGTTTATTGAAATCATTTTAGCATTTTACAACTGAAGTAACATTTCAGCTAAACAAAACACTGCTAAATATTGATATTTGATTAAAAAAAAAGTTGCCTTGTGTAATTTCTGTAAATTAGACTTGTTCTGATAAAAGATTTATAAACAACAACAAAAGAAATATGATAGTATGAATTTCAAGGGACATTGAATTATTAGGCCACACATTAGATAGCCCCTTTGAAATTTTTAACCCAGCTTACAGTCAGGCCATACCTACACTATTAGACCCAATGCTGACTAATTCTGTCCTTAATGCTTCGCATTATGCTAATGCTGCTACTAGGCACTGGGCTTCTGTTAAATGGAGCTGTGTGCTTTGCTTATGGCGGTTTTGTAGGGAAGTGCAGACCTGAAGAGGATTTGAGTTGGGTAGGTTATATGGTATGTAAAGAAGAATTTTGGCTATTGACTTCTGATGGAATGTTCAATGAGTGATTTAATTACTTGAGAATTTAATTCTCATTTGTTCTCTAAATTAAAATAATTCCTTAAAGAATTATTTTATGAATATAATTTGTACATGTATTTTATAGATATATGTACAAATGAAAAGTGAACACAATAGATGGGTCCCTGAAAAGTTGGTGTAAATCAATGTTACCTTTTTGTAAATTGATTTTGTTTTAGCTGTATTGGGATTTCTGGCACTGCCATGTAATATGTGTTAAGTAATGATATTTCACTGTAAACAAAAATGGAAAGTTAAAAATACCCAAGTCAGTTTCTTCAGCTGTCTTAAACAGAATTATAATGAACTTGTGATACAACTTCATAAGGTAGTAATTTAACTCCAGGCCGAAATAAGCAATGCATAACCAAACATTAGAGAAATAACTTTTAAAGTCATGAATGTACAGATAGAGAGGTTTTGTATGTATATAGACTATACCCTCTTCCTGACCATTTTCAAGATACTTAAGAGTAAGAATAAAAATTAAAACAGACTTTTTTGGTCTTCTGAACCAAGAATATCTATCTATCTCTGAGATGATTTTATATTTGTCTCTAGTGAGTTTTACACAATACAAAAATCCCCATTTCGTTTTTACACTTACCCAAATTATAGTATATACGTTGTCTCTGGACTGAAAGCCTCTGCTCCCTGAGAAATCAGATGGGAGTCTTTCGAATTTCTTGTTCACATTTCTCAGTGAGCTGCTTTTATCATTTTTTGGGTCCAGAGAGACATCCATTATAGGGAAAAACCTGCTGGGCATTTTGTTTCTTCAGAAGGGTTTCTTTTCATTCGTAGGACTGTGTGCTGATAGAAACACTGATCCTCTTCCCACAACCCCCTTCCTAAATCAACTTTATCGTGGCATAATTTACATACAATAAAATGTATACTTTATAATATATAATAGCTTTAAGTTTTGACAAATACTCAGTTTTGTAACCACCACCAGTAGCAAGATATAGAAAATATCAATTGCACCATAAAATTCCCTCATGCTCCTTTGTAGTCAGTACTCCATCCCCAGTCCCTGGCAATCCATTAGTCTGTTTCCTGTCCTGGAGAGGGGTAGGAAGGGACAGCTAGGAGAATAGCTTTCATAAATGGAGATCATTGTTTCTTGTGTAATAATTAGGCTTTTCTCCCTGATATATTGTAATCCTCCGAGGACAGGAACTCTCTGGACATCCCTACTCCACAGTGTTAAGGACTCACTATTGTTGTGTTGGGAGCCCTGGTGGCGCAGTGGTTAAGCGTTCAGCTGCTAACCAGAAGGTCAGCAGTTCAAATCCACCAGCCACTCCTTAGAAACCCATGGGCAGTTCTACTCTGTCCTATAGGGTTGCTGTGAGTCGGAATCGACTTGACGGCAACAGGTACATTCATTTGATTCCAACTCACAGATGACCCTATAAGACAGAATATAAATTGCCCCAGAGGATTTCCTAGGCTGGAATCTTTATGGGAGCAGATTGCCAGGTGTTTTCTCTCCTGGATTGGCTGGTGGGTTTGAACTACTGACCTTTCAGTTAGCAGCCTAATGCTTAGCAGTTGCGGCACCAGGGCTTTTTAGCACTCACTATTAGTGCTTAATAAATGATGTCTTTTTGATTGGGTGGGGGGGCAGGTATGAGCATCCTTTGTATTCCACACTCTACTTTGTGCCTCTTTGCGCAATGAAATCTTATTCCAATTAAAGTTTTATAAAAAGTATGCATCTAAAGAAAATTGTATAATTGGGGTTAAAATATTTTCTCAACAATTGAGAATCCTGGGAGATGTGAAGAGTTATAGGAGCAAAGTGATTTACCCCCTGAATAAAAAGTGGAAGAGGGAGCCCTGGTAGTGCAGTGGTTAAGCATTCGGCTGCTAACAAAAAAGTCGGCAGTTCGAATCCACAAGCCACTCCTTGGAAACTCTATGGGACAGTTCTGTAGGATCGCTATGAGTCTGAATCGACCTGATGGCAGTAGGTTTGGATTGGAAAACTGGTGGCGTAGTGGTTAAGAGCTACGGCTGCTAACCGAAAGGTTGGCAGTTCGAATCCACCAGGCACTCCTTGGAAACTCTGTGGGGCAGTTTTTCCCTGCCCTATAGGGTTGCTATGAGTCGGAATCCACTCGATGGCAATGGGTTTTTTATTTTATTAAAAGTGGAAGCCCTAGTTAATTTTAACAATGAGGTCTGCAAAAGAGAAGGCATCGATTAGAGAGAAGGGATATATGAAGGGGAAAAGAGGGTAGGGAGAATCTGAAGAATTACCAGGGTTGAGAGTTGTCAGGGTCAAGTTGGTAGGAAAAGAAGGGACAGAAGAAAAACCTGACATTGAAGGATTTTTGCACATATCAATGCCCTGACCTCATGTTTGATTCACTTTGGAGAATTTAAATGATTCCTGTATCTAAAAGTAGTCATAAGACAGAGTTATACGTGAGTCCTTTAAAAAGATCATACTGTTTCTGATTTGAAGTATAATTCTGATGCCTAAGCAATGGAGAATGGATTTTCTTTCAATCGGATGTACATGATAAAAAATAATGTTGCTTACCAAATGTATCTGATCATTTGCTTACATTTCATCGATTATGCTCAGTGGTCTTTCAAGACATCTATAAAATTGTTCAGTTAAAAAAATTTTGCCTCATCATAATCTCTTTAAAGTTATAAGAGTCAGAGATCCCATTCAGATGTTAGATCTATCTATTGTTCCTTGAGAGACTACCACCACCACTATCAGTTACCATCAAGTTGACACCAACTCATAGTGACCCCATTGTGTGTCAGAGTAGAACTGTGCTCTGTAGGGTCTTCAGTGGCTGATTTTTCGAAGTAGGTCACCAAGACTTTTTTCTGAGGCACCTCTGGGTGGGCTCAAACTTCCAACCTTTCGGTTAGCAGCTGAGCATATTAAGTGTTTACATCACCCCCAAACCAAAAACCAAACCTGTTGCCATCAAGTTGATTCTGATTCATAGTGACCCTATAGGACAGAGTAGAACTGCCCCATAGGGTTTCCAAGGCTGTAATCATTTTGGAAGCAGAGTGGCACATCTTTCACCGATAGAGCGGCTGGTGGGTTTGAACTGCCGACCTTTTGGTTAACAGTAGAGCACTTTAACCACTGTGCCACAGGGCTCCTTAGTCTAAATACTAGGCATTGAAAATGTAGCCTTGGGACCAAATATGCTGAATCTGGAATTCAGCTCACCTGAGACTTTTAGCAAAACTGAAACCAAAAAACCCCTTTGTATCTAGTTGATCCTGATTCATAGAAACCCTACAGGACAGAGTGGAACTGCCCCGTCGGGTTTCCAAGGAGTGGCTGGTGGATTCTGGGTAATTTGCCCCTGATTCTAGTGATTGCATACGACCATAGAGGTTGTTCCTGGGTTACGAATGAGATCTGTTCCTAATTGTGTCTTTAAGTTGAGTTTGTAGGTAGGTCAGAACAGGTGCGTAAGCTTCTTATCTATCCTTACTTTAGTGCAAGAAGATGCTTCAAGCCTTTTCAGTGATTTAAAAGCTGCAGGTGCAGCAAGTGAAGGTGATTGTGATGAAGAATTTATTGTGAGTAGGGCTGGTTCAATCATTTGAAAAGGAGGGCAAATTTACATAACACTGAAG